CTTCCTCCTGACACGAAGCTCCCCAAGGGCCTCTCTGGGCTGCTGATCTCTCATTTCTCGCTTCTTGTCATGTTCACACACAGTGACACCAACTCAGCTACCCCATAGCCCTGGCGAGGCCTGGATGCAGCCAGGGCCACAGCTCTGAGGACACAGCTGGGTTCAGACCTGGCTCCCCCAACTCAGCAGTGCTGTCACCCTGGACAAGCCACGTGCCTCTCAGGGTCTCCCCAATCCCCCAGCGGCACAGTGGGGATCATTCTAGCCCATGCTCCCTAGAGAAGCCATCCTGTCTTTAGACCAAGAAACCCCTACTGCACCAGTCACATCCACAGGCTTGCATCACAGGGAGATCGTGCACAGACTCAGCAAAGGAAGGACCCCACAGAGGGCTGGCAGAGCACAGAGCACATGACACACAGGCTGGGGTCTGCCCTGGGGTCTGGAGATAGTCACTTTCCTTGCTGCTTGCTTCCCAGCTCCCAGTCATGGGACTGAAATTAAATACAACTCTGACATCGTCTGCTCTGGCATATAAAATCCTAGGTCATTCTGTCATGTTGACATACAGGCCCAGTGTCCCATTTCGGCCCCTGTGGTGGGCTGCCCCACAATGGCTTTCTGTATTTGCCTTCTGTTCCCATGCCATTGTGTGATCCCCACACCCACCCCTGGAGGGTGGACGGACTTTGGGACCAGGTTCTGACATGTAGACTGACTTGTGAAAATGTGCATGAGTTCCACTCCTTCCCAGCTCCAGTGTTTATTTTCTCTGTCTGTCTCTCAGTTCCTCTCTCTCTGTCTTGTCTCTCTCTGTTTCTCTGTCTCCTTCTGCTTCTCTGTGTTTCAGTCTGTCTGTCTCTTTTCCTGTATGTATGTGTGTATATATTTATGTGTATATGTGTGTATTTATGTGTGTGTATTGTCAGGGCCCAGGGAAGGTCACTTCTGAAAATGCCTGATGACACATTGATTATTTTGAATTCATGTTACTGAAGAAAAATCATCTTTGAAAGTTGTGCAAGAACTTTGGTGGGATCAGCCCTAAGGATCAGTACTACTGGGGAAGGGATGCACCTGTGACACTTTTATGTGTCCTGTACCCTGTTCTCCCAGAGAGGAGCGTCCATTTGCTCTTCATTCCAAGCAATCTGCTGGGTCCTCTGCCTCCTCACATTGTCACCAGAGCTGGTTGTCACCAGGCTAAAGACCTGCCAGTGTGATGGTGGCGAATGCTGTCTCCACAGTGTGTCCGTCTGCCTGTGTCCTCACCTGACACACACTGGCCACCTGCACTGCCTCTCATTGGAACTGACTGTGTGTGTTTTGTTACTTTTCAGAACATTGGGTTTCAAGAGGTTTTTGGAACACATGGATGTGAAGCCTTTCTCTGACCTTGAGTAATGAGGAACACTTTTACAGGTTGTGGTTTGTCTTTCCAGCTGTCTTTCTTGGCCTTTGTTTTCTGGTTTTATTTGGTTTTATTTTGCCACTGGAAAAGCTAAACATCTCCCTTCTGGCTCTGGTTTCACACTTAGAACAGCAGTGCCTACTACGAGATTATGCACATAGTTACTAAAAGGGCTTCATTTAGTACGTCTCAACTTTAATCCATCTGGATATTCCTCTCAAAATACAAAAATGCTAATTCACGTAAAAACAAAAAAATTCGCCCATCCTTGCTTAAGATATATGGGCAGACAGAAAAACAAAAACAAAAACAAAAAAGCCACCATTTATATGATTTCATTGATGGGGACCTCCAGGATAGGTAAAGACAGAGAGAGAGAAAGGGGATTAGGGCTTGTCACAGGCTAGGGGAGGGAGCACGTGAGGTGTGCTTTGGATATAAGCTTTTACTTTGAGGAAGGCAATAGTCTGAAACCAGTTGTGTTGGTTTCACAGCATTGTGAATGCACCTAATGCACCTTAATTGCACAATTTAAAGTGGGAAAAGGCTAATCTTTATTCTTATAAACTTAAAATATAAAAATAGAATATACTATATTAGAAAAGAACAAATCTGACTCCATATTAGATCTGCTCTTTGGCTTTAATCCTGTGCCGTCTTTTCTGGGCTTAATCTTGCTAGCTCTGCCCCTTTTGTAAAACAATGTTGCCTTTACCTGAAATATATAGGAGAGCCTCTTTTCAAGGCTCTGATCTTTAGGGATCTTAAAACTTTTGCACTGGTATAAAGACAACAAGTTGCAGAATAGAAAATAAATTTTGCTTTGTTAGAGGTTTTACAGAGGCATTATGACCTGATCCATATAGTCAGCTACAGACCAAGATAAAGGTACACTAATGTCCTGGAGAACAATGTTCCCCAAGTGAGACTTCAGGATAATTTTTTAATAAAAAGGCAAGGGCTGTGGTTAGTTGTTTCAAACTTCTTGGTGTAGGATTTTTTTGTTCTTGGAATCCTCTGCAGCTCCCCACATGGGTCAGATCATGGTGTCCCTATAAACCCTGGAACACAGAGTTCTGCTTTAGGGAAACTGCACTACTTACATATCTATGGGAGGGAACTCGTTCAAATTCAGTTTCCCAGTACTTTTTTGCAAGGAAGGACAGGTTGCGCTGAAAAACCGAGTTGGAGCGAGTGCCTCCACAAAGATATATAAGTTGCGTGTTTTTGATAGGACAGAAAATCTGGGTTTACAACAAGCTAGGTGAAGGATGGCTTCCAAACACATTCAACACTCAAAAGTGAGCATGGGGAAAGTCGTTCTTTCATCCAGCATAAAAGGCAGAGGGACATCTATAAACGCTTACTCTGATTTCTCAGCATGTTTCCAAAAGCCGGTTTCCAAGTAAAAGTGGTTTGCAGCGGAAAACGGGGTTGGAGTGAGTGACAAACGATAGATATGTAAAAGGCGTAGATAACTTAGGTCAGAGACTCTGGGTTCCCAACAAGCTAGGTAAACTACGGCTTCCACACACGTACAGATCTCGGAAATGAGCCTGTGGAGAGGCATTCTTTCATCCAGCATAAAACACAAAGTGACATGCATAAACACTTACTCTGACTTCTCAGCATGTTTCCTAAAGCCAGTTTCAAAGTAAAAGCGGTTTGCACTGGAAAATCATGTTGCAGTGAGTGCCTCCCATTAGAAATGTAAGCAATGTAGTTCTCCTAGGCTAAAAAGACTGCATTATCAAACAATGAAGGTGAAGGGCGGCTCCAACAAACATACAGATCTCAAAAGTGATCATGTGGAGAGGCGTTCCTTCATCCAGCATAAAGGGAAGTGTGACATGTAGAAACACATTCTCTGAATTCTCAGCATGTTTCCTAACACCGGTTTCAAAGTAAAAGCAGTTTGCTGTGGAAAACGGCGTAGGAGCGAGCGCCTCCGCTTATATATGTAAGTAGCGTAGTCCCCCAAGACCAGAAACTCTGGGTTTCCAGCAAGTTAGGTGAAGGATGGCTCCAACACACATTTAAATGTCAGAAGTGAGAATGTGGAGAGGCTTATTTCATCCAGCATTGAAGGTTAAGTGACATACAGAAACACTTACTCTGATTTCTCAACATGTTTCTCAAAGCCGGTTTCAAGTAAAAGTGGTTTGCAATGGAAAACCGAGTTGATGCTAGTACGTCCCCATATATATGAAAGCAGCGTAGTTTCCGTAGTCCATAGAGTCTGGGTTTCCAACAAGCTAGGTGAAGGACGACTTCAAAATGCATACAGATCAGAAAATTAAGCATGTTGAGAGGCGTTCTTTCATCCAGCATAAAATGCAGAGTGACATGTAGAAACACATTCTATGATTTCTCAGCAAGTTTCCTAATGCCAGTTTCAAACTAAAAGCAGTGTGCTGTGGAAAACAACGTTGGAGCGAGTGCCTGTGTTTAGATATGTTAGTAACATAGTTCTACTAGACCAGAAAATCTGGGTTTCCAACAAGTTAGGTGAAGGACGGCTCCAACACACATTCAGATGTCAGAAGTGAGCATGTGGAGAGGCTTATTTCATCCAGCATTGAAGGTTAAGTCACATACAGAAACACTGAATTCTCAGCATGTTTCTCAAAGCCGGTTTCAAGTAAAAGCGGACTGCAGTGGAAAACCGAGTTTCTGCTAGTATCGTCCTCATATATATGTATGTAGTGCAGATTCCCACTGAAAAGAAACTCTATGTTCCTAAAAACTAGGTGATTGCCGGCTATCACACACATTTTACTCTCAGAATTGAGCAGGTGGAGAGACGTTCGTTCAACTAACATAAAGGGAAAGGGTTGCTGTAGAAACACTTACTTTGGTTTCTCACTATGTTTCCAAGTGCCAGTTCCAAGTTCATGCATTTTTCACTGTAAAATCGTGATGAAGCAACTACCCCCCAATATATATGTACATAGTGCAGTTTCCCAATGAAAAGAAACTGTGTTCCCAACAAGCAAGGTGATTGACTGCTTTCACACCTATTTAACTCACAAAATTGAGCATGTGGAGATACCTTCGTTCATCTAGCATAAAGGGAATGGGTTGCAGTAGAAACAATTACTCTAGTTATTCAGTATGTTTCCTAGTGCCGTTTGGAAATTCATGCAATTTTCAGAGTAAAACCGAGTTGGAGTTAATGCCTTAAATATATATGTATGTAGAGTAGTTTCCCATTCAAAAGAAACTGTGTGTTCCAAAGAAGCTAGATGATTGACGGCTTTCACACACACTTAACTCTGAGAATTGAGCATGTGGAGAGAATTTCTTTCAACTTGCATAAAGGGAATGGTTTGTAGTAGAAACACTTACTCTGGTTTTTGAGTATGTTTCCCAGTGCCAGTTTGAAGTTCAAGCAGTTTTCACTGTAAAATCGAGTGGAAGGTATTACCTCCCCTTATGTGTATGTAGTGCAGTTTCCCACTCAAAGAAACTGTGTTCCTAACAAGCAAGCTGATTGACGGCTTTCACCGACACTTAACTCTTAGAATTGATTATGTGGAGAGATGCTCGTTCATCTAGCATTAGAGGAATGGGTTGCGGTATAAACACTTACTCTGGTTTCTCAGAATGTTTCCTAATGCCAGTCGGAAGTTCATGCAGTTTTCACTGTAAAATCGAGTTGGAGCTAGTACCTCCCCATATATATGTATGTAGTGTAGTTTCCAACTGTAAAGATCTGTCTGTTCTTAACAAGTTAGGTCATTGACGGCTTATATGCACAATTATCTCTCAGAATTGAGCATGTGGAGAGACGTTCGTTCATCTACCATAAGGGGATTGGGTAGGAGTAGAAACACTTATTCTGATTTCTCAGTATGTTTCCCAATGCTGGTTTGAAGTTCATGCAGTTTTCACTGTAAAACCGAGTTGAAGCTAGTACCTCCCTATATATATGTTTGTAGTGTAGTGTCCTGCTCAAAAAAAAAAAAACTCTGTGTTCCCAACAAGATGGGTGACTGATGGCTTTCACATACACTTATCTCTTAAAATTGAGTATGTGGAGAGATGTACGTTCATCTAACATAAAGGGAATGGGTTGTAGTTGAAATACATACTCTGGTTTATCAGTATGTTTCCATATGCCAGTTTGATGTTCATGCAGTTTTCACTGTAAAAGCCAGTTGGAGCTAGTACATCCCTATATAAATTTACGTTGTGCAATTTCCCACTGAAGAGAAACTGTGTTCCAAGAAGCTAGGTGATAGACCGCTTTCACGGACCCTTAACTCTCAGATTTGAACGTGTGGAGAGACGTTCGTTCAACTAGCACAAAGAGAATGGGATCCAGTAGAAACTCTTACTAAGGTGTCTCAGTATTATTAATAGTGCAGGTTTGAAGTTCATGTTTTTTGAACGTAAAAACGAGTTGGAGCTAGTATCA